AAAATCAACCACTACACCAACAAGACTAACCAACAAAAAATATATACATATTAAAAAAAATACAGGTATGTTTATATGCTAACTTCGCTTGGAGACAGCGTGGAGAATAAATGTGATCATAAACTTTAAAAATTGTCAAAGTAAAACGTAATTGGGTTCTAATTAATAAAGGATATAATTTCTATTAGTCTCTGTAATACAAATAACATTATCCTAAATCTTAGAGTATTCAATGAAAAGAATTTCCAGACCCAGAAATCAAAGGTACTAGGAAGTTTTATTTCCTATCTCCGTTTTAACATATTTCTCACTCAAAAACACTCTGGAAATCGGAGACAGGAAAAAAGTTTAAGTAAAAAGTGACTGTGACTGCCTGAATCATGATGGTTTCTGACTGAGTGGCCCCTGCAACAATGCATGTTTGCTCTATTTCCATTTCTATCCCTCTCTTATTCCTTGGTTGCAAGGTGGTGTTCCTTTCCAGACCACCGTCACCCTTCCACCCTCCCCAAATCTACCTTTCCAAGGCAGAGGAAGGTGCAGCCTCGCCAGAAGTCCTGCCCGCGCCTTCCTACCTCTGGCCAGCAGCCGGTGAAACGGCGCGCCCTGGACATCCATTAACGTTTTATACTACATCTCAGCCCCAGCCGACGCTTCTCCTGATTGTTTACTGCCCCGCGTTCCCCAGCCAGCCCGCACACTACCCAACGCACTTTGGGGGAAATTTTTGGAACAGAAGCTCCGCCCATCTTATTCCCTCCGGCTGCACAAAACTAGCTACAACACCCCACCTTCCAGCAGCCCAAGTAGGTTTTGTCACATGATCCTTGGTACTGTATTTTTCACAAGAAAACAAGCATTAAAAAAAAAAAAAATTCAAACTGCATACGCCCGCCAATGGGAAAGCGAAGGGGGTGGGCGGGGGAAGTGCGCCGCGGGCAGGGCGGGGGCGGGGACGCGGGTGAGCGCTGAGGCCCGGACCGCCGGGGATTCRTAAAGCGCGCCGGGTGCAGGATTTGGGGTTTTTTTTTTTTTTTTCCTCCAAAACCGGCCTAAGCTCCAGACTCCGCCTGAAGCTGCAGCTTCACGGATCCACCTTAAATCTTCAGTGGACTCGGCTCAGGGGTCAGTGGGCGCAGCCAATGCCAATCAAGTTTACAACCACCAGCACGGGAGGGAAAAAAAAGAGAGCAAAAAAATATTCTTCAACTTCTACATACACACAGACACACACACACACACACACACACACACACACACACGTACGCAAGCACACACGCACACAAAAGGAAGGAGGGGTAGGGGACAGGCGCTCGAGATAGGGGGAAAATATTTGCAAACGCTCAGTCGAGGCTCGGTGGCCGCGGCCGGAGCGCTAGGGTACTGCGCGCGGGAAGCGCGGCCCGACCCGAGCGCCATGATGGTCGCCGCGGTTCGGAGCCCATTTTCTGGAGGGGGAGCTGCAATGATGCAATCCCCCGGCCCGCGCCCCGACTGCGCGCCCTTTGCCGTGCCTTTTCTTAACGTTCCTTTTGAGGCGCGTCGAGGTTTCGCGCCGAAAGCATTTAATGATTTATATATTTCCCACTTTCTGATTCCTGCCCCTTATGTATGCCCACGCGCGACGGGTTGGGTACGCAGACGGCGGCACAGGAACTAGAGTTTACGTGGAAATACTGCACTTTCGTTTCTATGAGGTTGGCCTGCGGCTGACCCCACCCTATCCCAACCCCCACACGAAAGAGATCCGGGAGGTGCCCCCAGAGGTTTTGTAGCACGGTCGTAGGCCCCCTTTGCACCAGCTCCTTGTGCAGGATTTTTGCCTTTTTTTTTTTTTTTTGGACGGGAAAGAGGGGGTGGCGAGCGTAGGGTGTGGCTCAGGTGGAAGATGGTAAATTTAAAAAGAGAGGTCCATACTCTGAAAAACAGATTGGTGGTCCTAGAGGAGCTTTTATACAGCTTTCAAATTCAAAGAGCTAGAAGAGCAAGTGTKTACGCTAACGATGATGACGATGAAATGGCGAAGGCAGCGTTCCCTGACGTCCGGGAAAGGTTGCTCAGTGCGGCCAGGGCGGTGGGCGCACCGTGGCCTGGAAGGCCGCCTGCCTTGCTCCCTCCCACTCGTTGAAGTCCACGGTCTCCTAGGTCCTCCAGACTTGACCCACATTTGGCCCCCAGACCCACGTTTCTGCAATCCGGCCCGGGTCCTCCGCGCTGGGCAGTCAGGGATGCGATGGTGGGGGGTACCTTGCAAAGCAGGGACGACCCCCTAAAGCGGCTGTGGCTCTCCGCCAGTCCTGAGCGCGGAGGTGGCTCTCCTTGGCCGCCGGCGAGCCGAGAAGCCTTTCGAAATGCGCGGGGCTGCGGATCATTGGAGCCTTGGGGTAGGGGTGGGAGCCGGCTGCTGCCTAGGAGGGTCCACGAATTGGAAAAAGTTCTCCCCTTTTCTCAAATCCCGCCACCACTCAGGAGGTGGCTAGGTACTCGTGTGGAGAGGAGTGGGGGCTTTCACTTCTTTCTTAACCTAAAGGATTGATGATGAGAGAGGAAAGTTTCTAAGAAACCGCCCAGCCCCGCTGCGCAGGCAGAGGCGCGGCAGCCCTCCGCGGCCTGCGGGAGCCGCGGGCGCGGGAACTGCGCGCGGCGACCCGGCCAGAGCTGGAGTTGCAAGTTGTAGACCAAGAGCGAGACTTGATGGCCTTTTCGTCCGCAGGCATCGGCCAGCCTGATCGCGCAACAGCCGCGGCGGGCTAGGGGGAGAGGGGGCTACTGGACAGTTTAGGGAGACGAAGGCGCAGTGGCCCGGGTGGTGGGGCAAAGGGTGGCTGGGGCCGGCGGCCGCATCCCGCAAAAGGGACGTTCGCTGCGAGCCTCACAGTCCGGGTTCGGGGGGAGGGCAACCTAAACCTCGATGTCGATTTTTGAAGGCTTGACACGGACGTGCAAAGGACGGAGGACAAGGTGACTTGGGGGCTGCATTCCTGTGAATGTGCCTGGCTTTGGGAGCATCCACTTCTTCCCGGCCCAGAATTCCTAAAACGCAGTCTCTAAAAATTCACATTAGAGAGACCTCTTTATGAAAGGAAAATGAGATTCATGCAGCAATTAAGAGGCTGTTTATCCTTCTATTAAAGACACTGTCAGAAGTACCTTTTTTTTTTTTTTTACTCAGAAGATCTTTAATTTTATTTCATTATTTTCCGACCTTCCACTCCTTCCTCCCCAGTTTGAATTGTTTTCCTTTACTCTCTGTCTTTTCCTGAAAAACACCCTGTATGCGTGTTTTGAACAGTCACAAAAACACCTTTAGTCTTTAATTAAAATAATACCTATTTGGTATGGACCAGACACCAAAAAGACCTATTTTTCCCCTTCCCGGCAGCAGAAACTAACTATTCTCTAAAAAATAATGATTAAAAAAAATCTTCTGGTCAAAAAATGCTGAATCTATCTTATTTATAGCCTCTTTTGGAGTACAATGATGAAAGTGGTAGTATTTGAGTAGAACAATTTAACCCAACTTCAGATTTTTACAATTTATCCATTTGCTGATTACTAAAAGGAATAATTTAGTTTTACACCTTAACCACCTTTTTTCAGATTGTGGAATTACAGGAATCATTTTTCTAGGTGACTTTAAAGTGCCTTGTCATAATTTTTTTTCTTAGGTTTTATATAGATAAATAGATATAAATATAAATATATGGATATATCTACTTACAGATACAAGAATCCAAAATGCTCAGATTTGGAACTTTGATTACCTAGTTTTCAGATGTGTAGATTATGCCAGGATATTCAAAAATTGAGGAATTTGAGTATGATAACCAGTTAATACCTGCTTCAACCACTGTAGAAGGCATACCAATTTAAGAACCCATATGTTTGAATATTTTGCACAAATTGTTAGATTAGATGGTCTGAACAATTGTTTTTAATGCCTCACACTTCGACTGTGTAAATACAGAATTTAGAGAAGTCATCATGTTACTTTCATTTTCAATCCTGCAAATGTGTAATCAGTCTACAGTTAGGTAAGGGTTTTTGGTTCTGACACATTCATATCCCAGAAGACACAAATATTTTAACTAAAAGAGACTTTGACTATTATTTATTTGAAAATGTGGCTTTTCCACTTTCTACTTTTAAAGCTTTGTCCACTCATACAAGAGGGAAAAACAGTAACTATTAACTATTCGGACCACATAAAACATCACATGAGATGTGGGCCGGAATTATGTAGATATTTGTCACTTCACATTATATTTGTATAAATATGACTAGAATACCAGATTGAACACCTGAAGCTTTATGAAACACATTACAGTTGCACTCAATGAATAGCTATGGAAGTTTTCTTTATTGATTGCTTGATGTGTAACAATAATTGGCATCTTTTTCACACATTACAAAAAATTATACTTGGCTCAGTATGCAATCTTTAAGCATAGCCATATTATTTAACAAAAGAAGGGAAAAACCTATTCTACCCAATACAGCATTTACAAATGCACAAAACATGCCACTTTGGCTTGTATATTGTCTAGATTAAAAAAAAAAATCTCTTTTTAACATAAATAAGTTAGTATAATTTTTCAGTGTCTTTACAGAGTTATGTACACAGGTACACTTCAAATGGTTTTGTTTCATACACTTACACAGGCAATGAAGAAATACTGTTTAAAGATGTAGTATCCATTTCCATTATTCCACAAGAGCGCTTTTCTTTACATGCGCTTTCCTTTAAAAACATTATTTTCCTTTGGGCAAATTAACAATTAAAGAAGATTAAATAAAAAATTATTTCTTTTTTTGTGTGTCTGTGAAGCTACTTATCAATCTTTAAAAATACTTCAGGATTTCAAATTGTTTTTACTGTGTCTACACAGCCCAAAGAGAAAAGAAAACTAAGACATTTTCTCAACAAATTTGGTAAATGTAGATGGTCAGTTTTGGGCATTCAGAAATCTCCATCACATGCCCCAGATTTTTGCTCAAAATTACTTGAAGTGATTACCAAACTGCTGAATAATTAACTGGTATATTCCAATTTTAAGGGAAACTGGKGGGCGGGGGGCACAGGGTTAGAGACACTGAGAAAAACAGTTGTTACTGTTTTTTTGTTTTTAAAGACATTTGCTAGTACATAACGGAATCATAAGAACTCCCAAATAAGAATAAGCTTCATGTAAAAATAAATAGCAATTATTTGTAGCCAGTTTTCAAATTTTGATTTTAAAAATGAAATATCAGTGTCACTGAAAGGGACATTACATCTTTAAAAAAAATAGTTGAAGCCCTTCCCCAAAATTGCTTCGGTTATGCAAGTCAAATATTTTTCTCCTTGCTATAAACAGAAGCAAGTTCTTTACCCCCACCCAGGCCAATTCCTTATCCCCACCCTGCCCTCCCTTCCCCAATGTTTATGTGCTACATAAAAGGTAAAAACTATATACACAGGTAGTACAATGAAGCAAATAAGGAAAAACCTAATTGCACGATGCTACATCCAACGCTTTTAGAGGCAGGTCATTTAAGAGTGCCTAAAATTTTAGTGTTATGGTGTTGTTGCTTTTCAGTGCTTATACAGGATGTCTGTTCCATGGAGTCAGCGATATGTATTTAAATTTTTTCTTGTATATCTTCCTTGCTTCATCAAGCAATGACGTATCTGATAAACAAGGAAACACATTCTTAATTCTGCAAAAGAAACAAGAAAGAAGAATTAGGGGAAAGCACAAGATTGACATTACCAATGAAGTACAGGAATATTTTGTCACTATCTTATTTGGGAAATACCTGAGTGATGTAAAGAGAAAAGTATGTACTAAAAAGTTTGATGACTATGGTCATCCCCACCGACCACCGAACATTGTCTTAACTGGATTTTTGCTCTCCTCTGTGTTATGTTAACACAGGGGTTCTTAATAAGTGGGCAATTTTGCCCAGCTCCCCTCACCCCCAGGGGATATTTGGCAATATTGAGACATTTTTGATTATCACAACTTAGGGAAGAGGATTGCTACTGGTATCTAGTAGGAAAGGCCAGAGATACTGCCAAACATTTTAAAATGCACAGGACAGCCTCCTGCATCAAAGAATTATTCGGCCTAAGATGTCAATAGTGCAGAGGTTGAGAAATTCTAAGCAAGAATCTGGGTCAAAGATGGTGAGAAAGAAAGGAAACAGGAAAATTCAGAAACTCTTAACACTTAAGAGTAACATCATTTTCTAAATTTGAAAAACACTTGGAAATGTAACTTGTGAAGGCCATCAGAAGAAAATTCTATTAACATCGGGGGTCTTTCCCCAAACATTCTACTTTCGGATTCATATGAATGCTTCTGAATAGATCCTTACTACTATTTCTAGTATTCTCTGAATTGGCAGCATTACCAACAAATGCCTCTTGCATGTCAGAATGGAGGCACATCAAAACAAAATCCAGTAGCTATGATACACGGGCCTCATGAGTTAGACCAAGTCACAAAAAACAAAAAAGCTACAGATGTTAAGCCTGTTCCAGAAAAATTTTCATCCAATTTTCCATTTTCATCCAATTTTCCAATATTACACTTTGAAGTGTAATATTAAGGGTCTACAATGCCATTTTGTATTAGTTTTGAAAAATACCAGATATATGTGGAGAAATCATATTATGACGTTATGATTTGAAAATACAACAAACCTAAATTCCGTTTTAACCTGGATAGTCTGAATTTTTAAATTTTTGTGAGAATTTTAAAAATTAGGGCTGGGGATTTAGCTCAGTTGGTAGAGTGCTTGCCTTGCATGCACAGGCCCTGGGTTCAATCCCCAGCACCACCAAAAAATATAAAATAAATAAAATAAAAATTTTTAAAAAAATTAAGTTGAACATTTATTTATTAAGATTCTTTTTTTTTTTTTTTTATCCGAGGCTATGAGTGTGCTTTGGGGAAAACAAGGGTCACAATCCTTGTTTACAAGAAATTTATAAACTATTAAGATTTGCACCCTGATCATTATGAATAGCCAATGTATTTAAATTTGAAGGCTAAATTATTCAAATTAGCTATTTGGGGTGATAAGATTTTTGTACATGGAAAAATCTCCACTTGTGCTAGGTAGACATACACTCACCAGTCCTAACATCTACTATCCATTTCCCCTACAAATACCCAAATCATCCTGTTAATAGCACAATTAGCATACACAGGATGATGTGTTCCTGGATGACAATTCTGGAAGTTAATTTTAACTTCAGCTTTGCAACTTCAGTGTTATCAGAAACTCTGTAGAACTTTAGTACTTTTGAGCTTTCCATTTTGGTTTTTTAAAATACAAAGTTTCCTTCTCTCTCCCCAAAACTTACCAGAAAACAGGGAAAGTGACAACTTAAAAAAATGATAAGGATAAAAGAACACAGCACACCACCCTATTCGCATTCCTAATGCCTTGCCTAATCAAATGTGAGCTATTTGTACCTAACTTTCCCCTCAACAGTTAAATGTAATCATTTATTTACCATTTTTCTATGTATGGCTCAAAATCTATTGACTCAACTTGAACCACTAAGAAATGAATTCTCATGAAGTGGGACTGAGGGATACCCCAGTTCTTGATCAGATAGGGAAAGAATCTATTGTTCCCAACGCGTTTTGGTGGACCCACAGAGATATTACCTTCCTATCTTTGGGGCCTTAGTTATAAGCACTTGCCTGGGAAACTGACTCTGGTTGTTGAATGTTTCAAGGGAGAATCATACTAGGAACTAGATACTTTGGAGAATTACAGTATCCCACATAGTGTTTTCCAGCCTTCCCCAGTCAGTGCTACTTTTTTGATTAAAAAAAATAATAAAAAAATTTAAAAAAACTCAAGTTACTAATCTGCTAGCAACCAGAAAAATCGTGTTTTGTACGGTTTGCAGGCCCACGGGTGCAGGATGCGCAGCCCAGTTCGGGTGTCAGTTCTGAGCTCTTTTAGTGATCAACCCACCGAGCTGGAGCTGTTTACGTTTGACGTCTTCGAAGGCCCGGCTTCTTGGGAGTCTGCTCCACAGAACCAGCACTTGGGGAACCGTCTGAAACATTTTCTTCTGTTCTGTTGGCTCTTTTGTTTTGAGAAGAAGAATCTATGGGTAAAGGGAATTTTTCAAAAAAAGAACAGACACAACCTTTATTAGTAAAGACAATGGCTGACAGAAGTTGTTCAGGGAATGAAAAACCCACCACCTCCACCCACAATTCTAGAATCGTCATCCCCAGTGGCCTTTCAGGGCACAAAATGAAGTTGTTTCTACATAACAGAAAGCGCATTCTACACCCCACATATATCTATCTACCCCTCCCCCATAGCTAAGAGGGAGACTGTCGATAAACATCACAACTTTGTCACATACCTACAACTGGCTAGGAGGGATGCGATGTGTTAGGGTTGGGAAAAAAACCGATCTTACCACCTCCGGTTTTTTACTTCAAAATCATAAACAGACAAGCAGTCAGCCAGGTAGCGCTTAAAACACTAAGATTAGCAAAGCCTGCTCCACTCCCCCCCCGCCGAGACCAAAAAAAAAAAAAAAAACTAAATCAAAATATGCTGAAAAGCAAACTGAAGTTAATACGGTCAGGCAGGCAAAGAGACGCTCCAGAAAGATAATTTTATGTTTTTGAAAGGGTCATTACCATCTGTTGCGGGTCGCTTCCTCATCCCTGCGCACTGCTCCGCTAACCCCGTCTGGCTGTCTGACGGGTCAGTCTTTGGGTCTACCAAGTGCGTGTCCTCTGAGTTTGCCTGGGACCCAATTAAAGGCACCGCCTGGCGGTTCCCGCTGACATCCTGGCTCTCCGGCGCCGGCACCTTGCAAGCGCCTTTGGGGGGCCGCGGGGGTCTGTAGTAGAACTCGGGCAAGCTGCCCTTCTCCACCTCTTGCCACTCGTATTTGCCCTCCAGGGGCTTATGGTTTTGAAAATCGAAATTCCACTTGCGCTGGCTGGCCTCTTCCATATCTCTGCAGTGCTTCTCCAAGTCCCGGGTTAACTCTTCGTGATTCACGGGACCGAAGAGGTTTCTGCAGGCGGAGGGCTTAGGGTGCTCAGCCTGTCTGGCGTCCATCCGCTCCAGGCTCGGGCTCCCGTTAGACACTCGCACGTTTGACATTTTCCTCCCGCTCGGGTCTTGACCGCTTAGCTCGATCTCTCAAAAAAACAAAACCGAACACAACAAAACACCCCKACGCAGTCCGGACTCCTCTTATAAGCCCTGCGACTGCCCTCAGAGCCAAGAGAAACAAGCCCCAACGAGTAACTGCCCGAGCCTCAGGAGCGCGCAGGTCTGGGGGAGTGAATGCGGGGACGCCCGGGACAGACAGCCTAAAGTCCCCGCCGATCAAGTGTACGGGCGAGCGGGAGGGCGGGGAAGGGAGGGGAGGAGGAAGGAGGAGGTGGCAAAGCCAGTCCCAGTCCAGGCTGGTGCAATCCCGCGGTCCCGCGAACCCAGCCGCTCTCCAAACCTTGCCGCGGTCGGAGTCGCGGAGCCGTGAGAAAGTGGGGAGAAGGGAGGGGGAGAAAAACACCCCGAAAAGACGAGCCCCCTTTTTTAGTTGCCCAATATGGCGGTGGTAGAGAGGCTGACGAAGAAGAAAATGATTGACACGGCAAGTCTATTTAAACAGAGGAGGAGATCCATTGGTCGCGGCGCCGGGAGCCGCCCAGCCGAGGCTGGCAAGCGCGGTCTTAAGGTGGCCCCGGCGCGGTTCCGACGCCTCTCCGCGTTCGCGAGCGCGCGACTCCCAGAGCGCCGCCAGGAGATTGGCTGGTCGCGTGACTGCTGGAGGTGTACTGCTGCCAACAAACCTGCTCTGGCTGGCCTCGGAGAAATTACAAATAAGACAAACAAACTAGCCAAACGGCCGGGAAGCTGGGGAGGGGCCTGGGGCCTGGGGTTCTCGTCCYCGCGCTGCGCTAGCTGGCGCGCGGCCGCTCCTAGCCGCGAACTCCCGCTCCTCGCCCGGGAAACCAGGGCCTGGACCATGTAATCTCCAAGGTCGCTGGCAGCTCTTTTGAGCCTCAGTGGCCAACTCATTTAGCCCTTACTCGCCGTGCTGGGGATGCGGGCGGCTGCGGGGCGGAGGCAGGCGAGGGGAGTAGTAGCCCCAGCTCGGCCCTCCCGGGTGGCCCCCATGAGTGCCGGTGGCCGGGAATCCTCAGCTGAGCGCCAGGACCCTCACGCCAGGCTGCCTTAGCTTGGGGAAGAGGGTGGGCAGTGGTTAGCTCAGCCTTAACCCAGAAGTTTCTGCTATCCTAGGAGAGGCCAAGAGCTTAGGCAAGAAACCAGAGCGAATGTCTTTCTGTAAATTAGCTGGGAATAGACGCAGCATTTATAATGCATTCTGAACCCACTGTCCCTCAGTAAACTAAGAGTCTCAAGATCAAAAATTCGACTGGTCTCAAAAGTTCCTTAATAAACTCTACAGCGGTCTCARATACATTTAGTTTTGAAAAAGCAAGGTTACACCCTGGCTCAGGTTCTTGCTTCTCAAGCACAGTTAAGGCCATTGACATTGGCTGTGTGTGGAAACTGTCTCTATACTTTACAATTCTTTCCCGGGTTGTGGCCATTTCCTCTACCTGAGTCCAGCCGCCAAATACAACAGCTCCTTCCTCCCCTTTTCCCTCTTATATTCGCTGCTCCAACCCACACTGAACAATAATTCAGATGCAAAAGAATGCTTTTATAAAGCTGCAAGCTGTTATTGGTGAGAATATTTCCCTAAGGATCAAAGTCCAGATTGTGGTGTATAAAACCATTACAACTTTGTCCTAATATCCTATATCATTATCTGGACATTTCTGGGATCCTCTTTGCAACTTGGATTTTATCTATCAATGTGGGCTTGAACAAGGTGATGGAAATTACAACAGGATGGGCAGGACTGTCATTGCTGGGACAGAGCTCAACGGGGCTTTAATTGCCTCCTCACTAACATTACCAATATGGATAATCTTGTTTTGGGCCAAAGTTAATAAATGTTATTGGAAACTAACCTTCTGTTTTAATTTTTCACAGCAATGATGTATTCTTATCACTTATGCTATAGATGTGTTTGATTTTAACTTGTTTTCTTAGTCACATTTTAGTTGTCCATGTTGTATGCCCGCCTCACCTCATACACTCAGAATGTTACAGCTGGAACAGCCCTCTGGGACCCTGTGGTTTAACCCTCTCTTTTTAACACGAGGAAATTGAGATTCAGAGAGGTTTCCTGTCCARGAACATACACAGAGGTGGTAAGAGAGCCAGGACTAGCTCAGGTCTCCTGACTTTCTGCATGGTTCATTTTCTGTTTCTTTCCTTTCTGGTAATCCCAATCAGTGTAAGGTTTTGTCTGGATTTGTTTGTGCTGTAGTCTGCAGATCCTCCTCTCCTACAGGGATCCAAAATGGCTCCTTCCTAGCCTGGACAGCCTGCAGATGATTCCTTCATGTTGCTGTGGTCACTGGATATTTAAATGCAGCTGTCTTTGGCCTTTGGTATCACTATCCACTAGTTCAACTGAAAAACAGATTCCAAAAATACAGGAGTGATACCCAGAGAATAGTGAAGGAGGCAATGTCCAGAACTACTGGCTTCAATATCAGGACTTCCTAACTAACTGACAGAAAGGAGTTCACCTAGGGTCAGAGCAAGAGGTCTCATAGTCTTTCTTTTTCTTTTCTTTTCTTTTTTTTTTTTTTTTTTTTTTTTTTTTTTT